TTTGGCTCAGCATCAGCCTGTGGACTGAAGGGTCATGGGTTCAATTCCAGTCAAGGGCACATGCCCGGGTTGTGGGCTTGATCCCTAGTGTGGGGCATGCAGGAGGCAGTCGATCAATGATTCTCTCTCATCATTGATGTTTTTATCTCTCTCTCTCCCTCCCCCTTACTCTCTGAAATCAATTTTAGAAAATCTTTTTAAAAAATTCAGCCATCCCTAAACTTGGTATACTCTTCTGCCAAACCAAATGCTGAATTGTCTTCCCTCCTCGCCCTTCTCTCAGCCTCTGGGAAGCTTCACCTGACCCTTGTTAAAGAAAGTAACTCAAGTAGAAACTGGTTTGGCTCAGTGGATAGAGCGTTGGCCTGTGGACTGAAAGGTCCCAGGTTTGATTCCAGTCAAGGCATGTATCTTGGTTGCGGGCACATCCCCAGTAGGGGGTGTACAAGAGGCAGCTGATCAATGATTCTCTCTCATTGATGTTTCTAACTCTCTATCCCTCTCTCTTCCTCTCTGTAAAAAATCAATAAAATATATTTTTTAAAAGAAATAAAAAAAGAAAATAACTCAAAACACAGAAATAAGGCAAAAGGTAATTAGATAGACCATGCTAGACAACCCCCTGGTGGGTCATTCCTTTTGGGGAATGTAAGTTAACATCACCATTGATTAGGTTGAGGACATTTTATGACTCTATAAGGTCATAAATTTAATTCCTAAAAAAGATCAATAAAGTGTGAATATTTTCTTTTCTGTTTAGCAGCAAAAATAATCTCCCAAATCACAATTTTATAGCATTACAGGACATCGATCAGTTCTGTTCCCAGGTTAGCAATGCTTTTCTCCAGTGATCTTTTTAATTCCATTTCTTGTGTTCTTTTTGAACCAGTTTTGTCATTCTAATAGTTTACTCCTCAATACTAAGGTAAAGAAAACTTGAACATACACTGTCTTTTTGTATGAAAATTATGCCAATAAGTTGGAAATGACTCAGAGAGAATTCACACACACACATACACCCAAAGCCAACTACTTCTACAGCCAACCTGCTGAAATGGCTTGTTTCAGGAAATGGCCTTCTCTGCTACACTTCTGAGTCAGTGGATATTTCTATCTTATGCTCCTCTGTGTCTTCAGAGCACAGCAGGATGAGATCAACAAAAATTTCTTTTTAAAAAAATATATTTTATTGATTTTTTACAGAGAGGAAGGGAGAGAAATAGAGAGTTAGAAACATCGATGAGAGAGAGTCATGGATCAGCTGCCTCCTGCACACCCCCTACTGGGGATGTGCCTGCAACCAAGGTACATGCCCTTGACCGGAATCGAACCTGGGACCTTCCAGTCCGCAGGCCGATGCTCTATCCACTGAGCCAAACCGGTTTTAGTAGCAAAAATTTTTTGAATGAGTTTCTTACCCAAATGCCTAAGCACCCTTCCTCCCACTCTTCTCCTTTGTACATCATGATCTCAAACTCCTGCATCCTTTTAAACATTGGTAATGGCTCTCTTCACTACCTGCAGCCTCTGAATCTGAAAAGTATCAGCTTGTTATCTAATTAAATGGTAGGTTTTTCTCTCAATGGCAGACATACAACAGGATTTAGGCCTGATAAAAAGATGAAATTCACATCATTTGCCTGGATATCAGTAACACTCAAAAGTAAATTTTAATAAAAATCAGTACTTCTTCTTGGGGGGGCTTGGGGGGGGGGGCGGGTTAAGGATGGAAATTGGTTACACAGCCAGCATATTATAAGAAGAGTGCTGTTAAATAAACTCTGACATGGACAGCCATATCTAAAAACACCTGAGATATATCATCTTCTCAAGCAAAAGATGCTGTACGAGTTCCTTTAAATCCAATGAGTATTTAATTTATATCAAATCATGGAATGAGATTCATTATTCTGATCCAGTTCTTTGTTGAAAGACTTTTCTGTTCGTATTCAATATCTGGTAATAATGAAAGCCTTGTGGGTATCAAATATAACTCTTCCAGTTATTAATTTACTGAGTCAGCTTTAAATCCATCTTAAGTGCATAGTCTGTAAAAATAGATCTGGTTGATAGTTACATATTTGTTGTTCATAATTTTTATCTTTATTTACTTTCTCTTCTGAAAGAACCACCTTCAGCAATTCATATAATTTTGGGGTGGGAACCTGGTGAAGGAGAGCAATGGAGGGGGGCGGGGGGAAAGAGGAACATTTGTAATAATATGAACAATAAAGATTTATTTTTTTTTTTAAATTTATCTGGTCCCTTGAAAGATTTTTCTTTTGTATCTGACAGGATCTAAGCTTTATCAGCAGAGGGCGCCAGAGAGACACTGCAAGGGAAAGGTCTTTCTTTTCTGTTTCAGTGTATTTCAACAGACAGGCTGCCCCGGATCCAGCTCTCCCAGCACCAGCTTCTGAATTATGGGCGCTGCTCCACCATCAGGCTTATGCACCATGGGCAGCCTCTCCAGTGTTGCCATCCCAACAACCCCTTTAGCCATTTTGTAATGGAATGCCTTTGGTGAGATACTCCCTAAAGGATGGATTTTCAGCAAGGTCCCCTAGCATGATAAGCATGATAAAGCATGGTCAGCAAACTGCAGCTTGCAAGCCACATGCGGCTCTTTGGCCCCTTGAGTGTGGCTCTTCCACAAAATACTATGGCCTGGGCGAGTTTATTTTGAAGAAGTGGCATTAGAAGAAGTTTAACTTTAAAAAATTTGGCTCTCAAAAGAAATTTCAATCATTGTACTGTTGGTATTTGGCTCTGTAGACTCATGAGTTTGCCGACCCCGGCCCTAGTACAAGCCCTCCAGCAAGAACTGCCTCTCGGAGGGGGCTGAGTTCTTCCTTGGTTGCTGTTTAAACTGCTCCTTATATCTTTTATTCCTATATTTTCTAGTTCTCTTTATTTCTTGCTCGTCAATCCATTAGTTCAATGCCCTATTATACAATAGTTAGGAACTCTTCATATTACACTTTCCCTATTCAAAGTTTTGTGTGCAGTCTCTCCTGATTGGACCCAAACTGAAACAAATTTTTTTCTTTTTTTAATTATATTTTATCAATTTTTTTTTTACAGAGAGGAAGGGAGGATAGAGTTAGAAACAGAGAAACATCGATCAGCTCCCTCCTGCACATCCCCCACGGGGGATGTGCCCGCAACCAAGGTACATGCCCATTACCACAATCGAACCTGGGACTCTTCAGTCTACAGGCCAACACTATCCACTCAGCCAAACCAGCTAGGGCTGAGACAAACTTCTTGAAGATAGTTTATTGGGCACTCAATATAAATAGCAAATTTCCCGTGATAAGTGTTTACCCATACAGAAAAAAAAATGTGTTTAAAGAAATAGGAATTACTTACATATTTGTGATTTTGGTAGCTGAGAAAAATGAAAGCATATGGAGGTTTTTCTTCATCTTTTCTGATATAAACAATTCCAATCATGATAAGCATGATTGTTTATTAGAGCTATGCGAGATGTATACACTTTATTATCCTAGGAGGGTCTCTGCAGTGGCCCCGCCACTTAAAACTGGCTTAATCCAAAGTTAAATACAGGGTAGTCATACAACTCGATGACTTAGGAGCCCCGGCTTCCCTTCCTCACTAAAGAATTTTCAAATCCTCTCTCATTTTTAAGGAAGACTTCTCAATTCTTTAGTAGAGTAGTAGGAGACTCGTCCTATAAAAGGGGGGAGCACAGTAAATTAAGAGCACAGACAAGTTACATTACGTCAGTACACTTGTTTCCTCATCTGTGAAAAGGACATAACACAGCACATCATAGGGTTGCTGTCAGAACCGAATGAAGATATGTAAAGCCCTTAAAATTAAGCCTGGCAAGTAGTATTTGTTATTCTTTTTATATTGTTTCATTTGATTTACTTTCCTCTTAGTTCCATATGTGAAAACTGACTTTATTGTTCAATTACAGTTTGCTCTTAGTATTACTTTGTGTTGGTGTTAGGTGTACAGCATAGTGGTCAATCATATGCTTTACAAAGTGTTCCCTCTGACAGTGCCAGTACCCATGTTATTATTTTTATCATCTATGATCTAACTCCTCAAATGCTGTTGCTTTAACAATACAATTATAAAAGGGGGGGATAAAGAAAAAAAGGTGCTTCACTATCTGTATGACAGAACCAACATTTTATATAAGTAGTTAGGCTAGATAAAAATGTTCCATATATCTAGTAGCCTCATACCAATGGGATTTAGTCAAGTAATAATTTAACTTTCATCAGAAAGACTTCCCAAGTGACTTTTGCAAGCATTATTTTCTTAAATTTTTTATTTGATTGATTTTGAGAAAGTAGCTTCTCAAGTGACTTTTGCCAACATTTTTTAAATTTTTTTATTGATTTTTAAAGAGAAAGGAGGAGAGAGAGAAATATCAGTTTGTTGCTCTATCCATTCATCCATTCACTGGTTGATTCCTGTATGTGCCCTGACTGGGGATCAAACCTGAAATCTTAATATATCTGCATGATGCACTAACCAACTGAACTACCTGGCCAGGGCTTGCCAGCATCCTTATTCTATTTAGAATAAAGGTTGTAAATGCTAAGAAATTGCCAATATAACCATCATCATCATCATCATCATCATCTGAACTTCTCGAATATTAGAATTTAAGCTACTTCCTTTTCTAAGAATTTGGGGTTTCAGACAAAGTGAGATTTCTTCAAAGTTTTATACTTTAGATATTATCTTTGTAATCACATAGATTAGGTTTAATCCCAGCCACATTCCCCGCCAGCTAGATAACCTCAGACAAGTGTTTTAACCTCTCCAAAGCCTAGTTCCTTTAACAGTGTTTCCCAAAGTGTGGTACGCGTACGTTGCACCGGAGTTTGGTGGGGATATGCACTGCACCGTGCTTAGCTGTGCTTAATTCTATGTTCTCATGAGTACGAGGGGTACTCAGCGTTACAAAAATTATAGAAGGGGTACACATATGTCAAAAGTTTGGGAAACACTGCGGGCCTAAAACATGAGGATAGCAATGCCTCTAATGAAGGACGGTCTCAAGGACTAAATGAGATAAAATGGCATGGCATCCTAACTGCTCAGTACAGAAAAGCAGCAGCCATTATCAGCTCTATTGCTGAGATTCTATCACCTCACTGTTTGCCTTATGAATTTCAAGACCTCCTTTTTAAATGTGTGAACGGCAGAAGAAGGTCCTATCACATCAATGTGTGTCCTGTTAAAATTAATCAGAAGTTCCTGATTGTACTTCGAACTTAGTTGTTCACATGCCAGCTCAATATTTCCTCTCTCTCTCCTTTCCTTTCCTTTCAAGTCAAAAGTCTCTTTTATAAGCTCAAAGTGAAGAGCGTGTGAATATTTCTCAATGCATTCTTTTGCAAGTTTTTCATGGTTTGGCTGCAAATCATTTTTTATGCAAATTGTGGTGATTTCACCTTCCACCCTCTCCTGACATAGAACATGATATTTTTTCAAAGTCCTTTCATAAAAGCTGCTCTTCTTTTTCAGGTACAGAAAAACATCTGTATCGAGAACAAGCGTCTCCCCACATCTGGCAGTCTCTCCATGCCTAGCAGTCTCGGGTACTGGGGACCTGGGTGACGGAAAAGCGTTATTACTTCTCAGTAGATTCTTTCTGGGGCTCTGTCTACTCCTCTTTTCCCCCTCACTGATACAACTCCTGTTTTTTTCTAAAAGAGAACTCGCTTTAAGTAGCAAAGATTCTTTGAGCTTCCTGACAGCCAGAAACGATCCTTGAACGGAGATTCTTCCATTTTGACCCAAAGGACTGAAGCGTAAACTTGGAATTTTCTTTTGCAGCTCCCTAACCAGACTTTCCAGAATGAATTGACCTCGAAAAACAGAGAGATCAAGAGTAGCATTTACAGAGATCAAGACCTAAAATAAAAGAGAGAGAAATTAAAACAGCACTGCCTCCTGGAGCAGACAGCATGAACACAATCTTTGTCTGCCACTGTCTCTGCAACAGCTACCCTACACCAGTCCCCAATTCCCTAGCACAGACTGGCTTCTTGCGCCATAGCAGCCCATCAAAGGGACCCCACAAACCCATAACCCACAATGTTCACTTTGGGATTTGCGCAGTCCCTCACTGCATTCCCCAAAACAGCGCTGGCTAAATATTTGTTAACATCAGAATGCTTTTTTGAAACAAAGTCTTAAGTAGAACCCACAGATATACACTGCTCTGGTTCTGCTCTGTGGTCCCCCTAGACAGCCCCCAAGTTTCAAGTTCATCAGATGCCTGCACAGAAGCTTGGGTTTCTTACAGAATAAAACGTTTAAAGCAATGCTTTGAATTTTAACTTTTCCTCTGATTTCTTCCTTTCCTGTACCTTCAAAGCTTCTTTTTTAATGTTCATTGGTTTTTTGTTTTTCCCCCCAAAATGAATTTTTAGGTAGATACCTGACATCATCCATGAGAGCATAAAAGCTCACTATCACTTTAAAAGCATCTCATGGGACATATAGAAACACAAAAACAGACCAAGCAGTAATCAAATTTTTTTTTAAGATATAAGGTTGGCCTTTAACACTGACTCAGGTTAAGGAGTTTGCATTTTCTTTCCAAATCATGTGATAACAGAGCCTTGTGGCTCCTTCGTAGGGAACACTTGGCAGAAAACTGGGATGCAAGACGACCAGCCAGCCCTCAGCGTCACACCTTACCTTTTCACTGAAATGAGAGACTGTGAGTTGAGTGGGTCCAATCTTCACTGCTAGATAGTGGTTCTTTTTTCTGATGACATTCTCTGCAACTAAGTGGAAACAGTGCCATCTGAAGTGTTTGTACCTTGATACACTAATAATTATTTTAAATAATAATAATAGACACCTAGCTGGTTAATGGATAGAGTGTTGGCCTCGAGATTGAAGGGTCCCAGGTTCAATTCTAGTCAAGGGCACATGCCCAGGTTATGGGCTTGATCCTCATTAGGGGTTGTGCAGGGAGCAGACAATCAATGACGCTCTCTTATCAATGATGTTTCTCTCTCTCTCTCTCTCCCTTCCTCTCCAAAATCAATAAAAATATCCTAATATAAAAAACCCTAATAATGTCATAATGTCCAGTAACAACTGAGGCTCAGACAACTGGAAGTCAGACTTGCAGCACTGACTACAACCCAGTGCTGACTGCTTCCGCTGCAGGCGCAGTCCCAGCACTGACGGCTGAGGGGGCTGAAAATCAGGACGAGAGAGGCCTAAAGAAAGAAGCAGGGACTGATCCATTGCCTCTGTGGCAGCTTTTGATCAGCACTTGCCTCTCTCTTTCTCTCCCAGTCTGGCAGGCAGCCATATCTCCATTTCTCTCCAGGCCTCCACCAGGGCTGCTGATCAGCCCTGCTTTTCTAGTCAGGCCCCGTTGATAGGCCCAGAAATTCTGACTGGCATAGAAACTAACCAATCAGAACCAAATCTGGGTGAAGAGTGAGGAGCCAATGGCTGCCTAGAAAGCAGAGCTTTTGACGCTGACTGGCATAGAAACCAACCAATCAGAACCAAATTGGCCAGCAGAGAAGGGCCATTGTGGGTGAGATCAGGCTGGCAGGGGAGGGCAGTTGGGAGCAAGATCAGGCTGGCATGGGATGGAAGTTGGGAAAACAAGCCAGCAGGGGAGGGCAGCTGGGGGCAAGATCAGGCCAACAGGGGAGGGCAGCTGGGGGGGAACCAGGCTGACAGCAGAGAGAAGTTGGGAGTGATCAGGCAGGCAGGCAGAGGCAATTAGGGGCAATAAGGCAGGCAGGCAGGTGAGCAGTTAGGAGCCAGTGGTCCCAGATTGAAAAAGGGATGTCCCAATGCCAGTCTAGGCCTGACCCCTGTGGGTCCCCGATTGGAGAGGATATAGGCGGGTTGAGAGAACTCCTTCCCTCCGTGCACGAATTTTGTGCACTGGGCCACTAGTTTTTAAATAATAATGTTAGAGATGTACAACTCTATTAGTTAGAATGCCTGAAATTTTTTTCTATATTTTTCCTCTAAATTAAATTCAACTTTTAATAGTTTCCCTTCTACTTTTAATACATTAAAATTCATTTGTGTAAATATGATCCTAATCAGACTTTAAAAAACACACAGTTATATATGACTAGAAAATAAAGACCAAAAAGTTAATCTCTCACTATATTAATTATGGCCTACAGGAGACTTCACCTTCTTAAATCCAGAATACCACATTGTCTGCTTTTCCTCTTATTCACTGGCTGACCTGCTCAGTCTCTTCTGCTAATTCTCCTTTTCCTCCAATTTTCTAGATGTTGGCATGCTTATATCTCAGGCCTCAAATCCCTTTGCTAACCAACACCCACCTCTTGGGTGATTCATGGCTTTAGATACCATCACTTCATGTATCTCTTTCTAATTTTTTCTCTGAGGATATAGAGAGAGGAAGGGGCAGGGAGAGGGAGAAATATCAATGTGAGAGCAAAACATACACCCACTGCGGCCTGTATTCCCTTATGGGGGATTGAACCTGCAACCCAGGCATGTGCCCTGCAAACTGAACCAGAAATATTTCGGTGCTGGAGACAACACCCAACCAACTGAGCCACACCAGCCACAGAAATTTCCACATATATTCTTGCTAGTGCAATATTGTGCCACTTTTATGTTTAGAATAGAATACTTTTTTGAAGTCACTTTAAACTTTACCAATCCCATGATTCATCTTAATGAAATTCAATTTTTAATTCTTTGCAGAAGCATTTCTAAGATTACAGAAATTTGATTTAGAAATACCTTTTTCTTCTTTGAATGTTACATATGCAACTCCTTTGGTTCTTGTTGGATATATCACATTTTCAACAACTCCGCCTTCATTCTTGGTATCTTGGAAGTGTCTCTTCACTAATGTGGTCAGTGATCGATCATTAAAATGGCCAACCGGCAGACCAGCAACTACAACCGTTCTTTCAGAAGCTTTGGATTCCTTACTATTCAGAACTGATGCCTGTAAGAGAAATAATAGGATGCTCTTTAAAATATGTAAGATTCTACTTAATATAGGCAACATCGCATACCAGTAGGAGAGGCTAATTTACTCAACAAATGTACCAGTGCACGTGATTAGATATGATAGATAGATAGATAGATAGATAGATAGATAGATAGATAGATGATAGATAGATTGATTATAGGGTCACATAAGAATTCGAGAGTTAAATGTAAAAAGTGAATCTTATTTTTATACATGGAAAACATTGGTTAATATTTGTCTGATTTTAGAAATGCCTAAAAATAACAGAAGGCACAAAGGAAAATATCAAAAAAGACACATTTGAATTAAAATTAAATTTTTTTAAAAAGTCAAGCTAACCCTAGGTGGTGTGGCCCAGTGGTTGAGTTTTGACCTATGAACCAGGAGGTTACCGTTTGACTCCTGGTCAGGACACATGCCTGGGTTTTCAGGCTCCATCCCCAGTGGGGGCATGCAGCAGGCAGCCAATCAATGATTCTCTCTCATCATTGATTTCTCTCTCTCTCTCTTTCTCTCTCTCTCTGAAATCATTTTTTTTAAAGCCATGCTAACCACAAAATACATTCATTTGGAGATGGCTGTGTGTTTTGATTGTAGAGTCCAAAATACATAAGCCAATAAGAAACACATCCCCTACTTTTTTGTCAGAATCAAGAAAAAGTCGCTATTAAAAAATAAATAAATAAATAAATAAAACCCTGGCAATAATACTAGGGCTGCAGTGGAGTAAATCCTGCCTCCAAGCACATATGTGAGGTGGAATTGAACGACTAAGCGTATCTGCCATTGCAGACCCTGCCACCACCCTGGGCACAGAGTACCAGCTACCAGTAGGTCCTTCCCTGGGCTCACTCGCTTTGAACTTGTTGTATTATCAAGTTAAGGGGCTTCTATTTTAATGTCTTAATTTGTCCCCAGTCTATTTAGGGAAGTGGACCCATAAGCTTCCCTGCCCAGTGCGTATAGGTGGCCCCTGGCTTGACTGTACCAGAGCTCAGACATAATCCCTCCTAACTTACCCCCAGGAAGGACAGCATGGCTCACGGGCCTGAGTAATGGTTAACAGATCACAGAGATGTTGTGGGCTCTCCGCTGAAAGAACTCTGTACTCAGAGTAGGACTTCACTGGGGATAACAGGCAAACTACTACTGACCTCCCAGGTCAAGTTCATAGTCTAAGTATACACACACAGTGTCCTGTCTATCCCAAAGGCACCTTAAAAAGGGCGGGGATGAAAATGGCTCAGGTTGAGACACATAAAACAGAAGGAATATCTCCTGGAAAGGGAACTCATAATAATCTATTGACTGGTTACTATGGAAAGTACTTCTTTTTTTTTTTTTTTTAGTCCTCATCCTAGACTATGTTTTTATTGATTTTTTTAGAGAGGAAGGGGGTGAGAAAAAACAAAAACAAACATTGATTGGGCCTACTTGCCCAGAGCTAAGATGGAACCTGAAACCTAGGTATGTGTCTTGACCAGAATCGAACCTGGCAACCTTTTGGTAAACAGGACAATGCTCCAACCAACCGAGCCATCCAGCCAGGGATGGGAGGTATTTAATGGCGGAAAACAGCTTCTGAACAGTAAAAACATGTCAACGTGTTCCTCCATCTCAGCTGCAAGTGGTAAGATGTAAGTACCCCAAAATAGGTCTTCCTAACAGTGGACAAAATGAGAGAGAGATTTGTCAGATGCTCAGGGAATTTTACTTCACAGGAGACTTGTCTTCATTACCATACATCTGGCTGTTAAGAGTCCACACCGTCTTCAATGGGCACATGACTAGTGAATTAACTTCTTTTTTGCTCTTTGCCAATGTCAACGAAAAACTTTCAATTTAAATTCAAAAAACCTCACCTAGCCTCTACCCTCACCAACACTAATGCCACACCGTATTTCTTTATTCAAGTGTCTACATTTAACTTATCTTTGAAATCAAAGGAACTTCTCCCTGATAGCTCTTAATCTCTTCCATCCCCATAAGGTAAAGAGGTGTCTTTGGCGAGAGCCTTTTCCAGAGTCACCTCAGAGACACAGGATTTTGAAACAAGAACAGCATCTTAGCCAGGACGTATTAAGGTGATGGCATGTTCCCTGTATCGCTGATATAATTTAAGAGATTCTGGCCATCGTGTCAGAAACAAAAAAGATATAAAGAAAAACTGAATTTATTTTTAAGTCGTTGGGGGAAGGGAATTAGATCCATCCATGGCACCTGTTTATTTTTATTTTCTTAAAACCAGTTGTTTGTTGTCACTGCAGTAAAGAAAACCACACCTGCTTCTCATACTGCTTGGGCATTTCCGGGGCCCTGGCAAATCTAAGTGAGAATTCGGGGCCCTGCCACTGCTTTCAAACGCTTGATGGAAGGCTGGCTACCTCTTGAATTTGCTAGCTGTTCTTGCTAGCCAGCACAACACAGAGGGTGCAAACACAGATCCCTTGTCCAGCGAAAGAACTGAGGCCACAAGAGAGAATCCTCACTAAATGCATACAAGACAGCCATCTGGATGCCTTCCCAGCTCGCGTCCCTGGCTGACAGCCTTCGGTCCGGCCCTATTCAAAAGGAAACCCCGGCCTCCCTCGCTGGGTAACTCCCTCGGCTCTTGTTCACCAGGCGGGGGGATGGTAGGAGGAACCACAGTGAAGCCCCATCGCGGCCGGCGAAGCGACTCCCCGACGGCACAGCCGAGTCCCTGGCGACGGCGCTGGGAACGGAGGCGGCCCGCCCGCCCTTTGGAGGGAGCCTCCGCCCCGGGGCGCACAGGTCCCCGGGCAGGTGCAGGGACGCGGAGGCCTTGGCTGGCGGGGTGCCTCCGGGGCGCTCGGCTCTCCCCACCCCGAGCCCTGGGCCCTCGCCCGTCCCCACCGGGCCCCCAGCCTTCTAGGGACCCTCGCCCGCCCCCACCGGGCCCCCATCCTTCTAGGGGCCCTCGCCCGCCCCCACCGGGCCCCCATCCTTCTAGGGGCCCTCGCCCGCCCCCACCGGGCCCCCATCCTTCTAGGGACCCTCGCCCGCCCCCACTGGGCACCGCGTCCTTCTAGCGGCCCTTAGCGACGGCCCGGAGGCGACCCTGCCCTGCAAAATCCGAAGCAAAAGCCACTTGCCATGGCGGAGCAGGATGGGCGCTGGGCGGTCGGCGGGCCGGAACCTGGAGGGCGCGGGCTGCGGGGCGGGCCGGCGGCAGGTTTCGGTTTTACTTTCCCCCGCTCGCTGGAGACCACGCGGCACCAGGGCGCTGGCCGGAACCCCCGAGAGTTTCTCAACTTTTGAAACCACTCGGGAGGGAAGCCAGGGGCCCCCGAGGGAATTCGGGGATTCCCGGGTCTGCCGGGGCCTCGATGGGAGCTGATGGTCCTTCCTACGCCTCCCCAGCCCCCCTCTCTCCGCGGCTCCTCCGGGCCTCCCCTTGTCACCCGCCCAGACCCCGGCCCGGCGCGCAGGGCGCAGGAGGAAAGGCGCACCCCTGCCCACTGCGAGCTCAGCGTCTTGATCCCGCCAAACCCGGACCCGAGTCTGGCACCTGGGAGGACCCCGGGGACCCACCAACACAGCTTCAAAGTCAAAGAGCATGAAGAAGGCAAAGGCACATAAGAAGAAGCTCAGATTTACTCTTAAGTAAAAAAATACAAATGGAAATATGAGATCCCTTGTTTTCTACGATTAGATTGGCAAAAAGTAAAGTGTGCTAATATCCAATGTTGGCCAGAGCTGCAAGCCTAGATAGGTGCAAACATTACTGAGGATTTGGGCCCCTTTCAAAAATGTGAAATGCAAAAAAAAAAAAAAAAATCTAAAGCATGCGCATAAACTTAGCAATTTCACTTTCAGGATTGCACTGATGTTACAGTGCACAAGCAACACTAAGATATTGTAGACATTTTAGTTGTCTGTTTCTTGTAATACACATAATTGTTTTGAGGTGTGTTTTTTTTCACATAATTGTTTTAAAAGTGGATCCACCCTAAGGCTATGAAGATTGTAAAATAATATAAATTCTATATGAAATCCCCAATTTATAGTTCACCTTCAGATACCTATATTAAATGCTCACTTCAAAGTCTAATAATCATATGAAATTTAACAAGCTCAAACGGAACTCTCGGTCCTCCCTTTCTTCCCCCTCAGGAAATATTTACACTATTTACTATTCAGCAATACCTACTGGGGAGCGCAAGCTCAGGCTCACAGGCGTTCCTTGATTTCTCCTTCCCTCCGCTCAATTAGTATAGTCCAGCGTTTTTCAACCGCTGTTCTGTGCCGCGAGATGTTGCCTGGTGTGCCGTAGGTGCAGACAAGACAAGAATTTTATAATTTTTCACTATTTTGTTTACTTAATATTTCATAATAAAGTAATTATAAAATACTTTCTTTGTGTTTATTTGATTCCTATTCAAGAGAATTACTTTATATATAGTCAATATAGGCACAGAGTTAAATTTTTTAACATTTTCTAATGGTGGTGTGCCTCGTGATTTTTTTCATGAAACAAGTGTGCCTTTGCCCAAAAAAGGTTGAAAAACACTGGTATAGTCTAAGCTACACAGCACCTCCAAGGCCACCTCTACCCTCCAGAGATAGTCTTGTTCCCCTTCAATTCTTCCTGGATAACCACACCCAGAATAGCATTTTTAAATGTAAATCAGCTTTAGTTTCTATTTAAACTCTTTGCACTTTAAATGAGATTTACATTCCTCAACAGGAAAGCAAAATGGCCTTGATCTGTTTCCTTTGGCCAGATCTCCTAGAAATGTCCTTCCTGCCTCTGTTCCAACCACACAAGTGCCTCACTGGGGCTCTTCCTGGCCTTGGTTCTGTTTCCAGGCTTGGAAAGCTCCTGCCTGATCCTCATTCAACTGGCTGCTTCCTGTCATTGGAATCTTAGCGCAAATGACCCCTCTTTAGAAACACTGTTTCTGATCACCTAGTCTAAATGTGTTTCCCTCCAGTATTGCTGATGTGGCTCAGTGGTTGAGCATTAATCTATGAACCTGGAGATCACGATTAGATTCTATTCCGTGGCCAGGGTTTGGGGCTCAATTCCCAGTGGGGGGGTGTCCAAGAAGCAACTGATCAAGAATTTCTATCATCATTGATGTTTTTTCCTCTCCCTCTCCCTTCCTCTCTGATTTTTTACAGAGAGGAAGAGAGAGGGATAGAGACTTAGAAACATCGATCAGCTGCCTCCTGCACACCCCCTACCGGGGATGTGCCCACAACCAAGGCACATGCCCTTGACAGGAATCGAACCCAGGACCCTTCTTCAGTCCTCAGACCGACGCTCTATCCACTGAGCCAAACCGGTTTCAGCTAAACATATTTTTTAAAATAAATAAATAAATCTGTTTCCCCCAGTTAATTGTCATTCCATCATCCTGTCATTTCACCATAATAGTACTCACCCCTTTCTAAAAGTATCTTTTTTTTCTTGCTTGTCTTTCCCCAGAGAGATACCTATTAGTCCTGTTCACCAGTATTCTTTGTTCTTCTCCATTCAGGCACATTGGAGGAATAGCCCTGACTCACTCAGTGTTTGAGGTTACACATGTTCATATGACTCAGGCAGCCAATGAAATATGAGAAGAATTGACATATCTTCTATATTTGGGTGGAAGCATTGCACTGCATGTGCAAGAGTCTCCAAGGCTCTCTCTGCCTCAGTGCTCATGCACTGAAGAGGACATGCATCACTGAGAACACACCGAACACAACTGCACGAGGGAGTTACCTGGGCCCTCCACAAAATGTACAGGAATGAAAAACAAAACTTTGACCTTTAAAGCCACTAAATTTTTTCAGCAATATTACCTTGCATACCCTGACTAATAAATCCCACTATAATGAAAGAACACCATGAAAATATGTGCAAATTGGCCCTTGCCAGTTTGGCTTAGTGAATAGAGCATCGGCCTGTGGGCTGAAAGGTCCCGAAGTTCGATTCCGGTCAAGGGCACATGCTTGGGTTGCAGGGTTGCAGGGTTGCAGGCTCAATCCCCCAATGGGGGGGATGCAGAAGGCAGCCAGTCAATGATTTTTTCTCATCATTGATGTTTCTATCTTTCCTTCTCTCTTCCTCTCTGAAATCAATAAAGACATATTAAAGAAAAATATATATATTTGCAAGTCGGATAAGGTATTTGTATCCAGAATATATAGCTAACCCTTACAATTCAAAAATACTAAGACAATTCAATTTAAAAATTAGCAAAAAATTGAATGGTCATTTTATCAAAGAAGTTACATTAGTGGATAATATGCTCAACATCATTAGTCATTAAAAAGTGTAAAATAAAACCATCATGAGATAACACTCCACACTAAAATGGCTGTAATCAAAAAGACAGATAACTAATGTCAAGAATATGGATAAATGAGAACTCTCATACATGGTGGGAAAGTAAAATGCTACAGCCACCTTTTAAAACAAGTTTAGCAGCTTCTTAAAATATGAAGGATGAATTTACCATATGACCAAAGGAATTCACTCTCAAATAACAAATCAAGAGAAATGAAAATATGTCCAAACAAAGGTTATATAATAGTCATAAAGTAGAAATAAGCTAAATGACCAGCAGTTGTTTAAATGATAAACCAAATGCAGTATGTGTGTATAGAGTGTGTACAATGTAATATTATCCAGCAATAAAAAGGAGTGAAATATTGATACATGCTACAAGAAAAATGAAGTTCAAAACTTTATGCTACGTGAAGGAAACCAGACCCAAAGACCATATATTGTACAATTCCACTTAATCAGAAAAGATACGTCTATGAAGTAAAAAAGTAGAAAAGTGGTGGCGAAGGCTGGAGATAGGAACAAAGATTAACTGTAAGTGGGCATGAACCCCATAATCCAAGTGGGGATCCTTTCTAGGGGTAATGAGAGAGCTAGTGTTAGCCGGGAATGCAGGTCTATCCTTCTGTGCCATGGAACCGGGTATAGAGCAACCCTTAACCTTATATGTGCAACTATTCCAAGGTGCATGTGCTGACATGGCACCTCGGCATAGTGAATACTTAAAATGGAAGGAATATAGAAATGGCATGTGCAAGAGGGGCTTTCTGACCTGCCCCCAGAAACAAGTCATAACACCTTCCTGTGAGCCAGGCCCTCCTTTATCCAGAAAGAAGAAGGGCCCTTATCTCCAAATACTAAGGGACACAGAGAACTATCTGAATGAACAGGCCAACACCCTAGTTTGAATCATTCTGATAGCCGCCCTCTCCTATCGTTTTTTTCACTTGCTATAACTTGACACTCTTCAGGTTTAACCATTCTGGTTTTTAGTTCCATAGAAGGCTCCAGTGTCACATAAAATTTATGATAAGTAAATTTGTATACTTTTCTCCTGTCTTTATCAGTTTAATTTCCAGATTCAGGAGCTCTAAAAGGGCTAAGGAAAACTTTTTCCTCCCCTGTAGTGCCAAGCTATCCTTGAGGGAGCATGACTCCACGTGTGGCCAAAATAACTCTAGCAGCTTACAATTGGATCTGCATCCAAAACAAACCAAAAAAAGCATTTCAATGTCTGATAGCCCCTGTTATAAGGCATCCTATCTCATTGTACTTGTCTTTGTCTTACAGCTTAAGTAAAATCAAACTGGTTGACATTTTCTGGAATACACAAAATCTGTTATTTGTATCTTGATAACCATTTATTTTCATAAGATGTGGCATGCATTATGAATATTCCTAAAAGTGAGGCAAAAAGAAATTTATTTTAAAGATGTAGCACTTGATGTTTGAAAGAGAGCAATGACTTTTATTGGACTATTAACAAAATGCAGACCGAAGCCTACCTTTCTAGAAAGCAATTGTAGCCACAGGTATTAAGGTCCTTAAAAAAATGTATATCCTTTAACAGATCAACCTAGCTGAAATAAGGTCAGAACTGCAGAAAAATATTTGTACACCAAGATAACACAGGGTTAATGAATATCATAGCACTTATAAATGTGAAAAAAAATTGAAAATAACTTTAATAGACAACAATAGGGAAATAATATTCACAAGATTAAATATGATATAGTTGGGGGAGGGAGAGATTATAAGGGAGGACATAGAATGTTTACCATTATATCTGAGGGAAGATTTTTAAAAATATATATTTTATTGATCTTTTACAGGGAGGAAGGGAGAGGGATAGAGAGTCAGAAATATCGATGAAAGAGCAACCAAGGTACATGCCCTTGACCGGAATCGAACCTGGGACCTTTCCGTTGTCAGGCCTACGCTCTATCCACTGAGCCAAACTGGTTTCGGCGGGAAGGTTTTTTTTATTATCTTTTTTCTAAGCCTCACCTAGGGATATGTTTTAATTGACTGAGAGAGAGAGAGAGTTAGAGAGAGAGAGAGAGAGAGAGAGGGAGAGAGAGAGAGAGAGAGAGAGAGAGAGAGAGAGAGAGAGAGAGAGAG